GGAGGCCGGGGACCAATTTGTTTCATAGCCTGATATTTGTTACTGTACAGCTCGCAGTTTTCGTGGAACACTAGCTTCTGTTGCAATTTTAGCTATGGATTCGGTTGACAGCTACTTTATTGCTAGATCTATCAGCTTCTTAGCTGCGGACTTCATTCGTGACAGTTTTTAGCGGCAGAGCCACCAGATTCTGTGGCAATTTTAGCTATTAATTAGGTTAATTCTTATTTTATTAAAAGATTCACTAGTTTCTATAGGAATTTTAGCTATGGATTCGGTTGACAGCTACTTTATTGCTAGATCTATCAGCTTCTTAGCTGCGGACTTCATTCGTGACAGTTTTTAGCGGCAGAGCCACCAGATTCTGTGGCAATTTTAGCTATCTGTTAGGTTAATTTTTATTTTATTAAAAGGTTCATTAGCTTCTATGGGAATTTTAGCTATTGACTCCATTGATGTCTGTTTTAATGAGAAATCCACTAGCTTCAGTTGCAATTTTAGCTATGGATTCGGTTGACAGCTACTTTATTGCTAGATCTATCAGCTTCTTAGCTGCGGACTTCATTCGTGACAGTTTTTAGCGGCAGAGCCACCAGATTCTGTGGCAATTTTAGCTATCTGTTAGGTTAATTTTTATTTTATTAAAAGGTTCATTAGCTTCTATGGGAATTTTAGCTATTGACTCCATTGATGTCTGTTTTAATGAGAAATCCACTAGCTTCAGTTGCAATTTTAGCTATGGATTCGGTTGACAGTAACTTTATTGCTAGATCTGTCAGCTTCTCAGCTGTGGACTTCATTCGTGACAGTTTTTAGCGGCAGAGCCATCAGATTGTATTGCAATTTTAGCTATCGACTAGATTAATCCTTATTTTATTAAAAGATTCATTATCTGCTATAGGAATTTTAGCTATTGACTCGATTGATGTGTATTTTAATGGAAAGTCCACTAGCTTCAGTTGCAATTTTAGCTATGGATTCGGTTGACAGTAACTTTATTGCTAGATCTGTCAGCTTCTCAGCTGTGGACTTCATTCGTGACAGTTTTTAGCGGCAGAGCCATCAGATTGTATTGCAATTTTAGCTATCGACTAGATTAATCCTTATTTTATTAAAAGATTCATTATCTGCTATAGGAATTTTAGCTATTGACTCGATTGATGTGTATTTTAATGGAAAGTCCACTAGCTTCTATTGCAATTTTAGCTATTGACTCGATTGATGTGTATTTTAATGGAAAGTCCACTAGCTTCTATTGCAATTTTAGCTATTGACTTCACTGATATCTGCTTTAATGAAATTCACCAGTTTCTGCTACAATTTTGGCTGTGGACTCAACTGATATCTGCTGTACGGGAGATTGACTAGCTTTCATTGCAATTTTAGTTATGGATTCGATTAATGTCTGTTTTAGCTAGAGATTCGTTGAGTAAGGATTCCAATTTGAGTCATGGACTTGATTGATCTTGGTTGACTGCTTTGTTTCACAGAAAATTGACATATTTTGGCGTTCTTTTGTCGATACACAGGGGTCTATTCCCTGTGATACTTACAACTGAATTAAATGATAAATTTTCAATTGTAAATATCTTAAAAATTATTGGGTATTGGCACCTGCAACATCAGGGGAACTAAATCTAGCATCCTACCAAATTTATACTAAATTGGTGACCCCAAGACCTTGTAGTCTTCTTGCTAGTGGTAGATCTATTAAAGTAGTCACAATGACTAGTTTCACAAATTTTCCTTCCACTCGTAATAAGAATACACAGCTGATTTTGAAAAATAATAATTAGAGTATTTTTCATCATGAGACTTTAATTACTAATATTTATGAATATTATGACAGTTGCGATATTAAGGTGATTTAATTTGAATCTTTCGAATTACTTTTGAATCTGTATCGAGAATGAACGAAGTCTGAAAAATTTGCATCAGTTCAGTGCTCGAGTTCATTTTACTCGTCTTCAAAATGTCAGCGAATGAAATAGTAAGTGTACTTGAAACAGTGCCTGCTATTCGAACGCCTACCCATTTATTATTCCACAAGATTACTTATCATTGCTGTTTTGCTAGGAATGAATCATCCACGCGATTCATCAAAAGTAGAGCCAGTCTCTATTTTGCTCACTAGTCACTCTGAATGTTTATTTTGTATTCAGCGTTTTAAACAGTCAATCTCTTAATAGCCCACATTTACCATCTTCGAAACAGTTTACAACTTAGCAATAGCCTATACATCAAGGTGATCAGACTAGGTACAGCTAATCTACATGTGGTCTGTAGACAGCTTCTTCGTGGCCATCTCTACAGATGTTTAGAAGAACCTAGAAACCATACGATGATGAGTCATCTAATGAGTGATCCTCAAAATATATCCTCGTTTACATAGACAATAATATACATAGTACATGAATGAACAATAGTATACGAAGAACAATCCAAACTCAAGAAATTTGACAGAGACAAGGGAGTCTTTGAGAAGGAATATTTCAGTAACCATTTTAAACTGGATCCATTTCGCTGGTTTTAAAAATATTGACATGTCAAGTGTTAACACGTTAAGTGTCCAGCCCGTTTTGCTTGCAGTTCCGTTCAGGCCCAGACTCGGTCATCAAGTGGGTCACTGGTGGCGGGCGAAATGTTCATAAAACTCAGAGATACTGTACCAATTATTATAACAGGAAATTCCATACGTTAGGTATAAAGATGACGAAGAATTTAACACCAAAAATTAGCACCTTTTGGTCCTAGACTGGGCCGGACCCTGAGGACCGGTCGGGTCCGAACGGAAAGTTTAGCGCCGGTCCCTGGGGACAGACCCAGACTAGGATCAAAAGCTACTAACTTTGGTGTTAAATTCTTCGCCATCTTTGGACCTAGTCTTTCCATGAGGACTGGCTGGGTCCGTACGGAAAGTCTAGCGCCCGTCCCTGGGGACAGACCCAGACTAGAACCAAAAGCTGCTAACTTTTGGTGTTAAATTCTTCGCCAACTTTGGACCTAGTCTTTCCCTGAGGACTGGCTGGGCCCGAACGGAAAGTCTAGCGCCGGTCCCTGGGGACAGACCCAGACTAGGATCAAAAGCTACTAACTTTGGTGTTAAATTCTTCGCCATCTTTGGACCTAGTCTTTCCATGAGGACTGGCTGGGTCCGTACGGAAAGTCTAGCGCCCGTCCCTGGGGACAGACCCAGACTAGAACCAAAAGCTGCTAACTTTTGGTGTTAAATTCTTCGCCAACTTTGGACCTAGTCTGTCCCTGAGGACCGGCTGGGCTCGAACGGAAATTCTAGTGCCAATCCCTAGAGAACATCGTCGCACTTAACGTGTCAAGTATCCCTGAAACAATTTCTATTATTTAAAAAATGATTCACTGATTCACTCATTGTTGTGCAAAGTTAGACTAATTATTGCAATTTTACTATGGATGCTTCATCCATGCAATTCATCAGAAATAAAATCAGTCCCCAATTTGTTGACTGATCGCTTTACAGGCTTACTTTTGGCGAAATGCAGGTGAAAGAATCTTTGTACTTTGCAGGATGAAGAGCGAGAACTATACATGTAGAGTATGAGGTCTAAATTCGCCTTTACACTGACGGCTTCACGCGATAATGGTCAGCGGTTGTACAACAGACACAGAAGGATTCTGGTCATTTTGTCAGATGTTGTGCAACAGGTCAATTCATTTGACAGTTCGATGGAACATCGTGCTTTGCTGGAACACAGTCGCTTGATGAAACGTAGACGTTTTATGAAACACTGTGATCGAATGGAGCTTAAAATGTTTCCTGATACAGTCTATTACAAAAGTGTTCTTGTCCCTCTTATCGTCCACTTCGAATGATTGCTATTGACTCATGATACGAGTTTACAAAATCCTTAAATTATTTCACTCAAAATTTACACTTCACAAATTTGTTTGATAAAATTACCTTGTCATTAACAATCTCTATTATTTTACGACAAAAATTTAAAAATTCTTAATTGACGGATATTTCGATTTCGACACGTGACAAGTTGGTATAATAAGAATACTTTAGGATATTAATTTCATGACGAATTATTTCAATTCCAGTTTACCTTATATCGAATTTTGATTTCGAAATAAAATGCCTGTTATTTGAAAGATTACTTAATAAATCGCACATTCTCGTTCAAAAAAATTTCGAAAATTACGTAGCAAAGAAGTACTAATCGTTTGGAGTCGAAAATTGAAGAGGTACAGATTTTTCTGTGACTTAGCATATAGGGTGTACCATATCTAACTGTATTCGAATGATTGCTATTGACTCATGATACGAGTTTACAAAATCCTTAAATTATTTCACTCAAAATTTACACTTCACAAATTTGTTTGATAAAATTACCTTGTCATTAACAATCTCTATTATTTTACGACAAAAATTTAAAAATTCTTAATTGACGGATATTTCGATTTCGACACGTGACAAGTTGGTATAATAAGAATACTTTAGGATATTAATTTCATGACGAATTATTTCAATTCCAGTTTACCTTATATCGAATTTTGATTTCGAAATAAAATGCCTGTTATTTGAAAGATTACTTAATAAATCGCACATTCTCGTTCAAAAAAATTTCGAAAATTACGTAGCAAAGAAGTACTAATCGTTTGGAGTCGAAAATTGAAGAGGTACAGATTTTTCTGTGACTTAGTATATAGGGTGTACCATCTAACTGTAAAAATAGATATTGAAAAATAAAAATTCCGTTCACAAGACCTAATTTATGAAATATCAGTAACTCCATATACAAATTTTTGTTCAATTTAATTTCATTGCAATAGCAGTGAATATATTCACCTCTATTTGAACAATTCACTTTTGATTCCTATTTTTACCATCAGACTAATACCAAGATTCCGAGAAAAATTTTAATTAAAACGAGCAAAGCGAAAATGAATATATGTATAAATATTTTAATATAGCCCGAATGAGACAAGGGACTGAAAGGAAGGTTGAATTGATGTTTCAGATCTGCCAACTACGCGAATGCTACGAAACAGTGTGAACTCTCGGACATGGACCGACTGACCGTAGCGGGATCAAGCGCTTTCCAGGCTGCTAAGGGTGTCGATTATCTTGAGAACCATTGCGTGGACGAGCCCGTGAAGCTGTGCGAATTCAAGAAGTTGTCTGGTCGTATCTTGAAAACCGTGGATTCCGTGTACCAGGATGTTGGCAGTGCCGAGGAGTGCAGAGAGCTTTGCTTGAATTCGCCATTCCGTTGCCATTCCTATGACTACGGTGACACTGGCGACATGGTGTGCCGTCTCAGCCATCACTCCAGGGCCACCCTTTCGGATATCCAGGTAAAACTTCGCGATAAATTGTAATTTTTGTCAAATTATTTTTAAAAGTATTTTAATTCCATTCGTTGAAGTTTGGTAGGGTAATTATAATTATCGTTGCTTTTATCGTGATGAATAAGGGGTGTCTGATAACTTGTGCCACTCGAGACAATTTCATATTTAATACTACGTCGAAAAGGAAGAATGTAATTTTGTTCTTACGAGGCTCTATTTTTGAGAAAATTAAATTTGAATATTTATGGACGTAAATTCATCCAATTTATTTTCTAATCGATATAATAAAGTTGTTTTAAAATAAGGAAGTTCGTTCCTTGGGAAAAAATATAGTTTCAAATATGCAGAGTTATTCATATTTGGAACTTTACCGGTATTTTACATATACCTATTCTTACCATAGGGGGTTAAATGACCCCTTGTGGTGTATAAGGTATGCAGAGAATTTTTCTCTGTAAAAAATAAGTTAACCCTTTGCACTCGAGAGACGACTCATAGTCGTCGTTTAATCAGATTTTAAAGGTAGTTGTTAATTAATATTTCGAATTTAAAATTATCCAACAACGCGTGGAATTCGAGGTAAAATAATTTTACGTCTTATAATTAATTTGCACTTCTTATTTTTCGTTTTCAATATATTGTCGACTTTATGGCAGAAAGTCTTTGAATTAATATGCTTCTGTAACGAAAATTAAACAATCAGATAATATGCGAATTTACAGAAAGTCAGATGAGCGAAATAAATAACAAAGAATGTCATTTTACCTCGCTTGGTACGTTTAGTGTCAAGTATAGGTAGATTATTGTAGACAGTTGAATGAAAAATATTCTGATAAAATAATTTTTAGTCGTACATAAATGTAGTCTAAGGAATTAAAAAATTATTGCACCACATAATAAACAAATATTTCAAGCTTCTGAAAGACTAAAAAATCGTATGACACGATGAATCCAAATTTATATTTTTGTCAAAAAAATAATTAAAAAATTATTGTACCCTGTACTAACAAATATTTCAAGTTTCTGAAAGACTAAAAAATTGTACGAGACGATGACTGCAAATTTATATTTTCCTGAAAAAATAATTAAAAAATTATTGTACTCTGTACTAACAAATATTTCAAGCTTCTGAAAGATTAAAAAATCGTATGATATCATAACTACAAATTTATATTTTTCTAAAAAAAAAATAAATGAAAAATTATTGTACCCTATACTAACAAATATTTCAAGCTTCTGAAAGACTAAAATATTGTACGATACGATGACTCCAAATTTATATTTTCGTCAAAAAAGTAATTAAAAAATTATTGTACTCTATACTAACAAATATTTCAAGTTTCTGAAAGATTAAAATATCGTATGATACGATGACTCCAAATTTATATTTTCGTAAAAAAAATAGTCATTCAGAGAATTTCCTTCGACATAAAAAACAAAATACGAATTCGCGTACAATTTATTTATTACTCTCCTATAAAGGTGAATCGTAGACACCATAAAACACTCCGTACAGTAAACAACTCGTATTTAGTACGAGAACTTATGTTCCCATATAAAGTACACCACCTCCAGTACATCAACAAAGAACTTCTAAAACTCGAAAATTCCGAACTAACAAAGCAAGTAATTTTCCTCAAAAACAACGTTATACTCGAGTTCCACAAACTAGACCGTTAAACGCCACGTGCTTCACCAGCAGAGCACGAGAGGAAAGAAAATAGCCGCGATCCGCTACTAAATATATTTCCCAAAACTACTTTTCCCATTTCGAACTCCTTCCTCTCCCTTCAATCTTCTCGAAAAACCCAGCTGAGCTCGTGTTTATTGCGGGAAAACCGGCGAAAAAATTGCTGTATCACTTTCCGATGAGGCGAAGAAACAAATCGAAGACTATTACGCCGTGTCACGCTTCATTTTCGATCCATAACTGACCGTTCTGCTCGGGCAGGGGTGTTTAATAAAGCGTTGCCCCGCGACGTTTCCCGGCGGGGTAACGTTGTTTCACGACGCGAAATTTCGTTCGCCCCCCCTGCGAACTTACTTTAATTCATTTGCCACGGCGAAGTGAAACAATTCGACGTCAATTCCGGGAATAGAATTCGCCTGGAAATCGTAGACCACACATTTCGCCCGTTCCGCTGTGCCACGTACTCTTGAAAGGGCCGGTAGGGATTTTCTGTAAACGTGATTACATTGCACACGTGCAAACCAGGTCGAACAATTCGCCGAGAGCGCATTCGTGGAAAATCGAGTTTCCATCGCAGATGCTTACCCTATCGAGCCTGTGGGGTGGCTCTTCAGGCTTGTGCATACGGGAGGACCGGGGGCGCCTGGTGCCCCGAGAAAGTCAAGACAAAGACTTTTCTTCCCGCCAACCTGTTGAGGAATCGGCTCGCTCTATTTCCACCCTCGTTCTATGTCGAACCGAATCACCGTCACTTTTTACATATCCCCACTCGGGCCACGGGTCTTTTATTTTTTCTTCCCTCAACCCAGTATTTCTGTCCTCCTTTCTTAACCCCTTGGCCTACGCGATATTTTCCGATTGCGCGGCCCATAGTAAATAAGAAGATCGGTTGCACTTCGAGCCGTTCAGTTGTTCAGCCGTGTGCCCAAACTTGCATAAAATGTATACTTCTTATGACACGTATATTTCGGCGCAACGAAGTGCCACGAATTCGACTCCTGCGTATTGTTCATGGCACAAATTCCTCACCACGAGTCAGACTCGTGGTTTCCGCTTACGGCCCAAATTCCTCACCACGAGTCAGACTCGTGGTTTCCGCTTACGGCCCAAATTCCTCGCCACGAGTCTCACTCGTGGTTGTAGGCCAAAGAGATAATTCCTTTGAGAAATTTGTAATTTCAACTATCGGATTATTTAAGTCGCGTAAAGGATCGCGTGATAATTTTAATTTTTGGTGAGATTACTATGTCTGTTATGACGTATGAAAAATTTGACACCTACGGGGTTAATTTGACTAATTGCATTATTAGCCCTTTGCGCTTAGAAGGCGTCTCTTAGTCGTCATTTAGTCATAGTCTAAAGATGTATGTTAATTGATATATCAAATTTACAATTACCCAACGATGCGTAGAATATCGAAGTAAAATAATTCCACGTCTGAATTTGCATACGATTACTACTTTATGGCAGAAAGTCTTCGAATTACTATTTTCCTGTAACGAAAAGATCGCCGAGTGCAAGGGGTTAGTATAGGTTATGTCGTACAGGCGATAAGTAATTATTCTCGATTACTACTTTATGGCAGAAAGTCTTCGAATTACTATTTTCCTGTAACGAAAAGATCGCCGAATGCAAGGGGTTAGTATAGGTTATGTCGTACAGGCGATAAGTAATTATTGTCAATTTTGAAAATTTTGAAAAAATTTGGTTACCGGCGAATTTAGAAAATATTTTCGAGATTTCGGATTTTCCCCATTTTCCCTTTCCATTTCCAATATTTTAATAATTTCCACTACTTTATGGCAGAAAGTCTTCGAATTACAATTTTCCTGTAACGAAAAGATCGCCGAGTGCAAGGGGTTAGTATAGGTTATGTCGTACAGGCGATAAGTAATTATTCTCAATTTTGAAAATTTTGAAAAAATTTGGTTACCGGCGAATTTAGAAAATATTTTCGAGATTTCGGATTTTCCCTATTATCCCTTTCAATTTCCACTACTATTTATCATTATACAATCCTGGAATGAAAATGCTCGAATACTTTTACGAGGAACTTACAGGAATAATGAAAAAGTAACAGGTACATGAATATGTCGGATATATGAAATTGATTTTTGCAATAAAACTGGGCAATTCCGGAATGAAACGAGCACGGTAAATAAGTAAGTGTAAAATAGAATAAATAAATTGAAACATATATTTGAAAATGGAGTAAATAAAATAAATGTAGAACAGGATAAACCCGTATGACAAATACCTCGGTTTTTACGAATACAGATGCAGCAATACCTCTCGTATGCAGGCTAATACTCGTGATCGTTGATTACACCTATTAATCTATTACGCTCGACAATTTTTTGGCTAAAGAAGGGTACGAGTTGGAAAATTTTCTGCTATAAAGCTGATGATATATTTTGAGCGGTAAATAAGAAATCGTATAATAATTAACCCTTTGCGTTAATTAATATATGAAATTTAAAATTACCCAAAGATACGAGGAATATCGAAATAAAATAATTCTACGTTTTAATTTGTATCCGATTTCCTATTTACCGTTTTAAAAATATCGTCCATTTTATAGCAGAAAGTCCTCGAATCACTAGTTTTCTGCAACGAAAAAATTGCCGAGTGTAAGGGTTAACACGTGGAATTATTTAATTTTGATATCCAGCACACTGTTACGTTATTTTAAATTTGATATATTAATTAACACCGAGCTTCAAAATTTTATCAAAATGGCGACAGAAAGGTGATCCTCGAGTAAAAAGGGTTAAAACGAGAATGCATTTAATTTATCGCTATTCGATGCGCGAAAAATGTTGAACAAAATAGAGGAAGGCAAAATCGTGATTTTCTTTTCGCCTTTCCTCGCGTGTTAAGTAGATAGCTGACGATATCTCGCGAAGGTGGAATTTCGCGATGGAAGATTCGAAGGACTTGTGTCGTTTCAGATCACGCACCTCCTCGACCTTGGACCCTTATACGTGTCGCTAAAAAGAGCACGACATTTAACGTGGTAATTTGAAACTCGTTTCCTATATCATTAAACAACTTAAATAATACGTTACAGTAATTGTATAAAGAGGTAATATCTCAAAGCCGATGCTATAATTTCGGTAATGAACGAGCCGCGCGCCAGGCTGATGCATATAGCAATTTATCAGGGGATAAAACGATGAACAAGAATACATTTGTGTGACAGTTTAAGTTTTATAAATAGCGGATAATTCTAACACCGGTTGGCCATTTTAGTAGAAATATGCAAATTGTTATTATCCCGTCGACCCAGATCATCGCATTATCGGGAAGAATTATCGAATTAGCATAACCAACCAACCAGATTACCAGGCACTCGAAGTTTGTTCATAAAGTGTAAATCACCGGCCATTATTTTAGACACGAAATACAACAAACTTAACTCGCGTGAATTTCAATATGATTTAAATTTCATAGTATTATAATTTATTATCCTATTAAAATATAAATATTATATCTGAAATAATTTTCGAAAAATTTTCTCCATTCATTCATCGTGTAAATATCCTTTTATGGATATCAGTAGCACTGATCGATAATATATTTACGAACTTCTCACTGAAATTAAAATATAACTCAAACATAATCCAACCTTCCAGGAATTTTCAGTCTATTCGAATCTCAAAGCCTAGAATTTTTAAGCTGTACGAAAAATTTGGTAACTCTGAACTAAATTTCAAAAAATTAGAAAATTCGTAGGATTACGATATAATAACCACCTAACCTTCATTCGATATAAAAATTCGTTTACAGAAATAAAATTAGTATTTAAAAATAATTTTATTCAAAGTTAATCTTCGAGGAATTTTCAAAGCCTGTGCAGTGAATCCAAAATTTTTAAGCTGTACGAAAAATTCGTTAAAACCGAACTAAATTTCAAATAATTAGAAAATTCGTAGGATTACGATATAATAGCCACCTAACCTTCATTCGATATAAAAATTCGTTTACAGAAATAAAATTAGTATTTAAAAATAATTTTATTCAAAGTTAATCTTCGAGGAATTTTCAAAGCCTGTGCAGTGAATCCAAAATTTTTAAGCTGTACGAAAAATTCGTTAAAACCGAACTAAATTTCAAATAATTAGAAAATTCGTAGGATTACGATATAATAGCCACCTAACCTTCATTCGATATAAAAATTCGTTTACAGAAATAAAATTAGTATTTAAAAATAATTTCATTTAAAGTCTCCTTCATTCGATATAAAAATTCGTTTACAGAAATAAAATTAGTATTTAAAAATAATTTTATTCATAGTCAATCTTTGAGGAATTTTCGAAGCCTATGCAGTGAATCCATAATTTTTAAGCTGTAAGAAAAATTTGGTAAGCCTGAACCAAATTTCAAAAAATTAGAAAATTCGTAGGATTACGATATAATAACCACCTAACTTTTATTCCATATGAAAATTTGTTCACAGAAATAAAATTAGTATTTAAAAATAATTTTATTCAAAGTCAATCTTCGAGGAATTTTCGAAGCCTGTGCAGTGAATCCAAAATTTTTAAGCTGGACGAAAAATTCGTTAAAACCGAACTAAATTTCGAATAATTAGAAAATAGGAGGATTACGATATAATAACACCTAATTTCGATTTTATATAAAAATTTGTTTGCAGAAATAAAATTAGTACTTAAAAATACTTCTATTTTTACAAATATACGTGTATACCAACAAAGCTAGGGATAATACTATATTAAATAAAAAGCAAGCAACAATCAATCAATCTTGGAATACTGAACGGAAAAGAAAGAAAAATTGAACGTCTAATTTCAGGAACCCTACCTGGACGTGCCGGAGGGATCAACGTACGAGTTGAGCTCTTGCTACAACGTGACCATCGACTGTCGCGCGGGCGACATGGTGACAAGAATCCAAACGAGCAAATTGTTCTACGGCAAGGTGTACGTGAAGGGGTCGCCAAATTCGTGCGTGCAGGACGTGAAGGGCGCGTTGGAGTTCGAGCTACGTATGGCGTACGACGATTTAGAGTGCAACATCAGACAACAGGGCCTTGGCCGGTACCTGAACGACGTCGTGATCCAACACCACGACACCATTGTCACCAGCTCCGATCTCGGCCTGGCCGTCACCTGTCAATACGATCTGACCAACAAAACTGTATCGAACGAAGTGGACCTCGGCGTGCACGGTGACATAACGCCTGCCCTGTCCGAGGAAGTGATCGTCGACTCGCCCAACGTAGCCATGAAGATCACCGATCGCAGTGGAAACGAAGCCATCCCATCGGCCGAAGTCGGTGATCCACTGGCACTGAAGTTCGAGATCCTCGACCCTAACAGCCCGTACGAGATCTTTGTGCGCGAACTGGTGGCTATGGACGGCGTGGACTCCAGCGAGATAGTCTTAATTGACTCGGATGGCTGCCCCACCGATCACGTCATCATGGGCCCGCTCTACAAGTCGGCTACCACCGGCAAGGTAAGTTCCAGGCTAATGGTTATCATTTATCGTTGGTGTAGCGCGCGATGCGAACACACGGCGCCACCATAAGCACGCTAACTTCTCGGTAGAGACTTTTTAACGAGATCGTAAACGGCCACGTTCGGAATTAGTTTTTTTCAAACCTCCACGTGTCTCATTACCCTCGACACTCTCGGCTACGATCGAGCCATCATTCCGTAGACTAAAGACGAACTGCATACGTGACCGTGACCATAGAGGCTAGGGAGGTGGAGGCTAGAGATGGGACCAGGGACGAGGCTAGAGACTAGGCTGGAGGCATCAGCTGTCGCAGCAAGAACTGTTATTACTCGTGTCGGTCTTGCGACGTCTGTAATTCCTCCCACGCGCGTTTCTCGTAGTTAATGACGAGGAGAAAAGAAAGAGAGGGTAGAAAGAAAGAAAGAAAGAAAGGGGGGTAAAGACCGATTCTAATTTGACGGACACAGCGAGGCAGTCGAGGACTCGGCTAATAGAGATGCTGGGTGCCGATAATGTCGATGCTTGCGCGCCAGCCTTTATGGGAACCCTCGCGCCACGTTGTTTCGCGTTCGGTATAAGCCAGAGAAGGAATGGGGAGCGTGGCTGGAAGAAACCGCGAGTCAACCAGTCGGTCCGACTGCATGCTAATCAATCACTCAAACGGATTTTACGACGGGAAGCAATTTGCTCGCGCCATAACAGGTCGCATCGTTGATGCACCGTCGTCTTAGCTATGGCGCGTCCTGATGCGTTGATAGCAGCTTCGGGGGCTCGTTATTATTTTCACCGTGTAATGCTAGCTGTCGCCTGAAAATTTGGAAAGTAAACAACTCTTCGTCAAGCCTGACGCGAGGAATATCGCGGATAGAGGAGCATCGTCAGTGAAAGTTAGCTCGCACACGGGTTAAGTTTCACAGTCTTGGCAGTCGATATATTCAACTTATTTTGGGACGTTTGTCTTTGATTTTTCAAAAATTTCGAAAATTTCGAATAATTTCAAATGGCTGTAAAGGAGGATAGTTTCTCTTCTTTCGATAAATTTGTTGACTTCGAGTATATTTCAATCTTACGATATGGAAACACCTGTCAATTGTCCTTCGCGCATCTCTGACATTTTAACCCTTTGCACTCGAGAGGTAAGCTCCAGTCACCATTTCATAAAATTTGCAAGATCGATATTAATTAATATATCAAATTTAATGCAATGTAACAGTGTGCGAGATATCGAAATCAAATAATTCTACAATTCTATTATTATACAATTCTGTATTTACTGTTCAAAAGGTATTGTCAGTTTTTTAGTAGAGAATTTTTGAATTTCTACTCTTCTCTAGCCAAAAGTCGTCAAGTGCAAAGGGTTAAATATTTCTTATAGATTTGTTAGGTTTTGCAGAATTTGACTATGGGTACTGAAATTTAGATTTTTGTAACAGTGTGCGAGATATCGAAATCAAATAATTCTACAATTCTATTATTATACAATTCTGTATTTACTGTTCAAAAGATATTGTCAGTTTTTCAGTAGAGAATTTTTGAATTTCTACTCTTCTCTAGCCAAAAGTTGTCGAGTGCAAAGGGTTAAATATTTCTTATAGATTTGTTAGGTTTTGCAGAATTTTATTATGGGTACTACAATTTAGATTTGTTAGATATTTTGTAAAATAAGATGAGTCACATCTGCATATACTTAAATGAAAAAATTTAAATTAGTTACGAATTAAATAAATTTCCATAATATTTATGCATAAATAGAGACAGATGAAAATAATCTAGAATATAAAACTACGTGACAGTGATATTATTTCATCAAAACTCGATAGAAACGTACGCACAATTCGACATAATCGAATGTAGAAAATGCATTGGATATTGCATTGCAATAAACAAAACGTCGAAAAAAGGAAAAGAAAGAAAAACGTGTTATAGTGATTACAAAAATCCCAATAATTTATGATATAATAAAAAATTTGGTTTTTTTAAATCATTCTCTTTTAGTTAATTGAGAGATAATTTATCCGAAGACAAACAAAAACGAGTAAATGTGCGTCAATTATGTTAAAAGGGAAGAAAATTATGAAATCTTGCGAGGCACGTGTCTCCGACAGCCATAAACTAAGCAATGTGCAGGAGTGTTATGGACTAGGTGCTTAAGGGGTTAATCAGGAGGAACGTTTGATTGCTTCGTAGAGATAGAAGCGTGTAGAACTAAACAGTAAGGCAGCGAGGAGGAGAATAAAGCTCCCCAGAGTCGCTGGATTCATGTGTTTCAATTACGTGTTAACGCAATATCACTTACCATGTACCCCAGAGATATTTCCATTTTAATATCTGTTTTCGAGGAAAAGAGAAATAAGAAGCGGGGGAACTGTGAACTTGCGAGAACAGTAAATTGCTCGTTTCGTGATTATTTTTTATTCGTATCGTTACATTAACGTGCAGAACACTCTACTTCCATTAACTCGGACCGTTGCTGGAGCAAATTCCAAAAAAGAAATTGAAATTTCGAACGTTGCTGAAATTAAAGTTATTAAAATTTGGTACTAATCAGTAGCAAAAATAATATCAGAGAAATATTCGCGATCGTTTGAGAAATACAGAAAATACTGCGAGGCATTTGTGAGTTAGTAATAAACGCCATAATTTGAATAATTATTCAATATCGTACGAATTCAGAAGGCATGTATGATGATTAATCCTCGTGTTTATAATTCACATAACTAATTTTTAATCCAGATCCACGTGTTCTATAATTTTTAATTCGTTGCATTCCATTATGGCAATATCGATGATATAGAAATTATTATTTGATAAATAAAAAACAAAATTTTCGCTTCAAATAGCTGTCTACTAGAAGACAAATTAAAAAATTCCTGAAGTATGAACATTCTTCGTTTCATATAGGTGTCCATTGCGTACGAAATAAAGCACTTTCATTGTGCACCAATTTTTCATTTCAAATACCTTTTCATTGCAAAAGAAATAAAAAAGGAATTCACAGAGTACAAAAATTAGAGAGCAGAAATATTTTACATCGAATATTTTATTATTGCGAAAGACAAAGGAATTATTTACTTTAAATACGTTTCTATAGGGGGAAAACCAAAACATTTTTTAAACGAAAAAATTATTTTCCTGTTAAATAAATCTCTATTGCAAAAGGAATCAAAATCTTCCAGAAACTCACAAATTTTTACGTTTCTATGGAGCAGGAACCTAAACATTTTTTAAACGAAAAAATTATTTGCGTGTTAAATAAATCTCTATTACAAAAGCAACCACAGTTTTTTAGAAACTAGGAAATTTTTACGTTTTTATGGAGGAGAAACCAAAATATTTTTCAAGCGAAAAAATTATTTGCCTGTTAAATAAATCTCTATTGCAAAAGGAACCAAAATCTTCAAGAAACTCAGAAATTTTTACGTTTCTACGGGGAAGAAACCAAAACATTTTTTAAACGAAAAGATTATTTGCGTGTTAAATAAATCTCTATTGCAAAAGGAACCAAAATTTTCCTGAAGCACGAAAATTTTTAATTTCAAATATTTTCTACCCCAAAATCGTATTTCATACAAGATCAAGAAATTCTTAGCTTGCAAATAGCTAAATTCTTTATTCACAGCCATTACACAGCTATTTAAATCAATTTGTAATAATTATTACTACCCACCTGTGAGATTAAAATGAAAGATTCTAACAAATTATAATCCTTCTCTTCAGAAATGAACGATTGCTAAGGGTTAAAGATGCTCACCTCTATCCGAGCATATTAACCGTAGAAAATAAATCTTCGATGTTTGTTAAGTTTCCCGACGCACTTACGAAACATGTGAGCATAAATAAACTACGAAGGGAAATAGATTCCGCAGGAGGAAGCGAGAAGGTAGCCGATATGTCTCGATATAGGCACCAAGACATTGATCAATGATCGCGACCACGCCCACTACCAGATGGATGACATTATCGATGTAACAACGATTCAGACATTCGTGAGAGCGTGTTAAAGTGTCAAAATACCGCTGAATCATCGACGAGATGCAATTCCATTCGCAAATTCCCATAGATCTCTCTCACGTCAGCGAATCGCGAAGGAATAAATTACTTTCGCGAACTCATTAGCGCCATTATTAAACGATTATGGATTTTTCCCATATATCTACATACTTCTTATCCACTGTATAAAAATTGATTTACGTAATTTGCAAATTTCAATGCAATTCCATTCATGAATTTTCATAGACCTCTAACGTGTCAACGAATTACGAAGAAATAAATTAATACCGCGAAGAAATTAAAGTCGTTGCTGAAC